GTATGAAGTATTTAAACACGGGGTTTTAACTCCTTTGCATAGACTTCATTATCATCAGCATCAGCCTATTAATCACTCCATTGCTGGGGCACAGCCTTCCCCATGGATGGAATAATGAGATTTGTGGATGGTTACACTGCAGATGCAGATCACTGGTATCTTCGAAAGCATGGACATAAAGTAAAATAATACTACATTTTGGTAGTGTTGTGTTTCTGTCAGTGAATAAGTCTCCACGGGGTAGGGGATTATGTCGGGGTAGACAACGATGCGAATGATATTTTTGGTATCGCAAGCGTAAATAGGCTCTGGTGGCCGCTTACCATCAGGCGGGCCATACGCTTGTTTGCCACTCTTTTAACATTAAAAACATACATATAGGTACATACCACTCGCACCACGAGGGTAGTCCAAAGATATAGATAAAATATCTCAACTATACATACTGATTTCACATTTTTACATCATAAGCAAAAGCACCGCTCTTTTACATAATTCATGTTACAAATTGGAGATATGAGGGTTGTGTTGTGAGTAAAAGGACGCAATTATTCAGAAAATACGTCGATGTATTTACATAATAATTCTACTTTATATTTGGCGGAGTGGAAACGTCACAGTGCAAATTGAACCAGCGGATATTATACGCAACATTTTCATCATTATCTTGCCGTCTTTGTGGTGTGTGGAGGCACTGTGCATTACACTTTGCTTGGATTCTCTTTGACTGCTCAAACGCTGAAAGAAAATCTATGAAATTGTATTATACAATCAGACATATGAGTTCGAAAACAAAACGTTAGGCCCTCTTGGGATGGGAGAAGAAGCACTGTACTTACTTACGTGACTTCAAATATTATCAATATTATCATGAAACTAATTTATATTCCCACTGATGGGATACAGGCTTTCCCAATGGATGGGATAGATTGATCGGCCCATGACCAACCAAGCGAACCCAATACGGATTAGTGACCCAATACTGTGGACATTTTACGTTCCAATATTTCTAGTCCTACATATGCATAAAATTGTTTAGTTTGTTTTTACAAAATTATACTACCTTCTTGAAGTTTAAACAACAACTTAAAAAAGTACTTATTTTGATTTTTTAATCAAGCAATTTTATCCGTCAGAACTTAAAGTATAATTTGAATAGCGAAGCATAAACCTATCGTAATAAAAAACAATAAACTCTCGCTTAAAATCAAAACACAAGTCATCCTGAATCGCTCAATTAAAGTTTATGAAAGCATGAGTACCCCTCATCCGAGAAACGGTTGGTTGAAAATTGGAGAATAAAGGCCGTGGCTTACTTAAAAACTGATACAATCTGATGTGGAGGGGTCCACACTCCACATTAAGCTTCGTTCACAGCTTGAGTCGTATTTTTAGGCTCACAAATGTTTTTGGCATACTCATTATTTATTATTACCGACACGTGCATATCCTTTTTGAAGCCTTAGATTAAAACAAAAAGGGTAGATACGGCACTAGCCTCACAAAAGTGATCCGCATGAATTGTGGTCCACGACCCTAATCGCTTTAGTCACAACTTGACATGCAAACGACGTACATGTGAACGCCAAAAAGAAATATTGCTAATATTTTGTGTTTATATGATAAAAAATGCCTAAGTGTGTTTTTAAAAAGTGCTCAAATTGCTCAAGAACTAAAAATAAAACCCACGGCATCACTTTTCATTCGTAAGTACTATAAAATATATTTTTTCATAAAAATTGCTGCTTGTTTTGAATCTTATTCGGTAGTGACGTCGAGTACTAGTCGCGTGATTGGTCGGTAGTGCAGTGACGCGGATCTCGCCGTCTCGTTCGCGCTGCCTTTGAAACTTAACGTGCTGTTTCGTTCAGGTCAGTAATGCAGTGACGCGGATGTCGCCGTCGCGTTCGCACTGCCGTGGGATCGGTTTTTGTTTGATGCAAGTATGAGCTTACCGTATCTACCCTTTTTGTTTTAATCTAAGTTTGAAGCACGTTCAGTCTCCGATTATGGAGGAAGCAAGTTTTGACACTCCATTACAACAGATGGCGCTCAAAAGTATGAAAGCCTACATCACTCAAGAAAAATTCTTGTTCTTCATATATACATTCCACGACCAATCAATATTGACAGGGCTGCGTCCTTGAGCTAACATCATCCAGCTCGGTCGAAGATCTTCTCCTTTGGCTTCCCTACACTGGTCATCCCGACGTGATCCTACACAGCCTACACTCGTGACCCTCGACTAAGCATAACAGTAGCAAGGAACCTTCAACCATCGCAGCGCAGCCATCATTCCTTATACCCCATCCTTATCAGGTCAAAATCATCAGCAGTCACACTGCAAGCCAGCATCAGCCTCAAGGGTTCCATAGCAGCATTTCAATCTTAAACGACGCCTCCTGGTATCTGCGGGAGCACGCGACGGCAACATCCCGACCTGTCTCTGGTGATTGTGATTTTGTAATCGACTTTTGTTATTTATAATATGTTGAAGATTGTAGTCGATTCTTGAGAAACAACGCGAAAACGTGCAAAGGTGTGTCTGTAAGTACCTATAAAAGGATGGATGCAAATATGTAAATTTTAATTACCAAATCGAAAACTAATTTTTAGGTCTTAATGCCTGTCCACATCAACGTGAAACGTTGCAAATTTACGACCAGGTAGGCAGTTTATGTCAACGCACCCTGCAACGAGTGATAATGATAAGATGATGAGATAATGAGAAACATACATAATTATTGTAGGTGAGAAAAAATCCTGATTATGAAAAGATATAATCGTCAATAGAATTGAATATAAAAAAAAATACTTAAATTGAATGAATTGTGAACCTGTCGAATTGTGTCGAACCCTTCAATAATGAAATTTGTAATCGAATTAGGCACTAGTTTCACAACTTCGAAGTTGTTCGGTCTCTGCAATATACACTTCTTCCAGAAACACTTCATTAATCGCTGGCTTCATTGATTGAAAGGCAGCTTCGATACTTCCCGGTATTGAATAACAATACTCATCTAGGTACCTGTTGTTCTATGATATGTAGTAACAAAATTTTATTCTGTACTAGGGAACCCGAAAAACGTCCATTCCGCATACAAAAATATAGTAAAGCTATAACACCATATATGCCAATCAAAAAGAAGTGTAAAGTAAGTTTTATAATTGTCTACCTGAGAGTTAGCAACTTACTGTTTTCCATGAGAATTTTCTAAAAAGTATTAGATTTTTTTAAGAGATGGGTGCATTCGGTAAAGTTGTTGGCAGGTTAAGACATGGCCAAGGGATAAAGGGATATTTTTATTATAATAATTGTGACACGCTAGGTTTCGCACGCATATTAAAAAAAACAAGTTTTGACATTCCAATAGGTACTTAAACACTACTAATCCAGATTTCATAATTTTCTGGTGGTAGAAGGATTTTTAGAAAAGAATTATCCAATCTGGTGCAGTCCTTTGGAAGTTATGTGCGTAGGACCACACCTTTTGGCAATTATTTTTTTATTTACTTATACTATTAAAGATATACAGAGATTTTTTTTAGAGCGCGTAACGCCCACGTATTATATGTAGATAGGTAAATTTCTTCCCACGACTTCGTCTTCGTGTTATACTTCAAATCATTTTTTTGGAAAGCTTTAAAAAGTATTCTAAGATAGTTTATTAGAGGAAGACTTAATCTCAGGATAGAGCATAGAGTATGTGCTTACTTCTTTATTCAAAATTTCCATATATTATAAGTTTCAGTTGATAGGAGTGAAAAGAGTCGTATTATCGTAGCAACATTTAAATAACTCAAAAGAAACTGTGCGATTGTACCTACTCTCGGCATAAATATAACTTCAATAGTCCACTAAACTCCGATGCCGTTAATAGAACCCCATTATCGATAAGTCCAGTGGTACGGTTTCAGGAGAGCATTATATAGGTAACCGGTCTATAGTTCTTTTATTAGTACCGAAAAAGCTAAAACCCGCGTTAGAATTCGGACAGGTTTTGGATTACCTAGATCAGGAACGGGCTTCCTTAGGTGCAGGGCCACTTACGATTTGCTTCAAATCAAAATTTGCTCAGTAACGAATGCGTCTCACTCAGCCTACTGCTTAGCAGCAGGCTAGATACGCCCCTGAGTTTGCTGAGAAGTAAATAGGTAAGTACCTAACTAGGTACTTGATTCGGTTGCTGTGTGGTCTTTGTCGGAATATGTAAAAAAATATAACTTTTTGGTGAGTAGGTACCTTAAATTTAGGTTTGATGGACTCGGACCGAATTTCAACCATTCGAGGGCCGGAGACGGCTCGAAAGTCGTAGTTTGCCCTTCCTTTCCCTAGATGGTAGTCACAGTCTTGGTCGGGTGCTCTGCATATGCCCCTTTTATGCTGGTATTCGTATTTGCTTTATAATATTGTAAACTAGAATGCAGTATTTTAAGGAATTAAAAGGAGTGACGGCTGTCTACAAATATCAAACACAAACACGACCAGCTACGTGAAGTAACCGGCATTAAAATATTATCATATTGATGTCGATTCTGGCACAATTCTCTAAATCTAAACTTAAATTTGACAACAGTGTATCCTTGTTATTCTCTATACAGAATGAAAAGAAGAGACTGATTTTAAATTTAGTTTTAAGTTTAGAGAATCACGCCAGGATTGACACCATTATTATGCTTACCACATTTTTCCCATAAAAGAATCATATCATAAAAATCTGATAAAGCACTTCGAGAGTGTTATTAAATTACTCGTTACAAACTTGCTATCGTCTCCGTGACTCTGCGTCGTTGGTGTGGCAATGGCGACATTGTCATAAAGGTTAATACTGCCAGCTTCGTTTTTGTGACGCGCTACTGACGCGGGATATTCTCAGCACGTGCCGTTGGATTTATGAGCCGCGATATGGGTATGACGCTCTTGTAAGTTTCAACATACGCCATCCACCATCCAGTAAAAAAGTAATGTAACTGCCGAAGTACTAATACATTTTTACTTAATGTTAGAAGAAAATAGAAATTTAAAACTTAAGTTGGAAAGCCTGGAAAAGAAGATACAACTTTTAGAAAAAGACAAGAAAAGCAACAGTATAATAATCTATGGACTGAAAGAGGGTGAGAAATTTATAACAGATCTATTAGAGAATGCAAAGCAAAAATTTCAGGAAGAGTTGGACATAAAAATAGAAAACTTTGAGATAAACAAAATCTATCGTATTGGAAATTTAATAAACAAAGAAAAATCGAGACCTACACTCATATCCTTTATCAATGGTTGGAAGAAGAGCAAAGTTTTGAAAAACAAGAAAAACTCCAAGGAGTTACAGATTTCTAAAGATTACACCAAAGAAACTTTAGAGAAGAGGAAGGCATTACTCCCACAACTAAAAGAAGAACGTAATAAAGGAAACATAGCCTACCTTAAATATGATAAACTCATTGTTAAAGAAAGTGCAGGCGTTAATGATAAAAGGAAAAGAGAACCGTCTGCCTCCCCGTATGCTAATCCGCAACCGAAGAAACAGCAGATGACATCATCTACGAAATCTCACAGAACAAATGCATTTGACTTGATGAGGGTTCGATCTAATTCTCTTACATCCCAACCAATAGGAAAACAACAATAGCAATCAACTATCGGCGAACGGAAACAAGAACACAACCAAAAAGAAAAAACAACTATAACAACACACCCTCCCCCAAGCCGACTGGTCCTCGTGGAGGAAAAAGACCAAGACCCTTTAAAGATAAATAAAACAACTTCTGATATCCACATAGCAACATTTAACTCAAGGTCGTTAAGGACACCTGAGAGACTTCAAGAACTTGAAACGGCCATATCAGAAATAAGATGGGACATAATAGGAATTAGCAAAATGAGAAGATATGGGGAGAAGATAGAAGACTATGGGGATTACATGTTACACCACATTAGCGTGACGCCGGGGCAATACGGAGTAGGATTCATAATTAAAAAGAGACTAGCGGAAAAAATAATAGAAATTAAAGGAGTCACAGAAAGAATAGCTATCTTAAATATATTACTACCGGTTAGCAAAGAAGAAAAATGGTCAATCATTCAAGCATATTCGCCTACAGAATCAAATAAAAAAGAAGATATAGTAAAGATAGAAAAGTTTTACCATGATTTGCAAACAACCATACAAAACGCACACAAACAAACCATTGTAATGGGAGATTTTAACAGTCAGATTGGAACACGCGATAATGGAGAAGAATACACGATTGGCAAATATGGACACGGAAAAAGAAGTAAAAATGGAGCAAGAATAGTCACATTCGCTTTATCAAACAAACTTAGCATTCTCAATAGCTTCTACAAGAAAAAAGAATCAAAAAGATGGACGTGGATTTCGCCAAATGGTCTCTACAAAAATGAAATAGATCTTATCATGTCCAATAATATTAAAGCTTTCAAAAACATCACAGTCATACAGAACTTAAATTTTAATTCAGATCACAGAATGGTTCGTGCTACACTAACAGAAAAACCTATAAAAAGGAACAGGAGATGACAAAATGATAGCTCGGCCTTGATGTGTACTGGAAATAACGAAAAGCTTATTACCAACCTTGCAACATTAGCAAACATAATCGGAGAAAAGACCATATCGATTGAAGAGAAATATGAAAAAACTTTGGAAATACTTAAAACAGAAACGAGAAAAGTAAATAAGATCAAAAACTCTACAGAGACTCAGCATCTACTAGAAGAAAGGAAGAAACTCTTACAAATAAAGGAAAATAATCAAGAGAAGAGAAAAAAAATAAGAGAAATCAGTAAGAATATAAACGAAAGTATAAGAAAAGATAGGAAAACAACAAGACAACAAACACTACAAAAACATATAAACAGAACTGGTGGAATTAAAAAGGCTATTAAAGAGTTAAAGGAAAAAAGTGAATGGGTTCGAAGGGTCTCTACCCTTCTAAGTAAGAATAAAACTAAGAATAAAACCAACACGAGAAAAATACCTGAAATACTGAAAGCAGCAACTGACTTCTATAGAGAATTATACCAAAGTAAGAACCCAAGAGTGGCCGCAGAGATATTTAATTCAATGGATTCTGAGCCTATACCAAAAATATTGAAAGAAGAAACGATTAAAGCAATTACTACACAAAAAAAACAGACAAAACACCTGGATCTGATCAAATTACCAACGAACTACTTAAATCTACTATACCAGCGATTGTTCCAATATTAACAGATTTATTTAACGAGATCCTAGAGACCGAAACTATTCCAGAGGACTGGACAAAATCAACGATAATACTGTTACATAAAAAAGGAAACAAAGAAGATATCGGAAACTATCGTCCCATCAGTTTGATGTCCAATATATATATAAGGTCTTCTCAAAAATTATCTTATCACGAATTACTACGGTACTCGATGAAAACCAACCAAAAGAACAAGCTGGTTTCCGAAGCAAGTTTTCAACTATCGATCATATTCACGTCCTGAGACAAATTTTACAAAAGTACAATGAATACAATAAATACTACTACTTAGCGTTTGTAGATTTTAATAAGGCTTTTGACTCTTTGGAGCACGATTACATTTGGGAAGCCTTACACAGTCAGGGAATACAGCACAAATACATAAGAATATTGAGGAATATATACTTTAGAAGTACAGCACAAGTTAGATTGGAGAAAACAAGCGAAACATTCCCCATAGAGCGAGGCGTCCGACAAGGTGATCCTATCTCGCCCAAATCGCTGGTCCTGGAGATGATATTTCGAAACCTAGAATGGGATGAGAATGGTCGCAATATTAATGGCGAATATCTAAGCCATCTACGTTTTGCAGATGATCTGATACTGTTCTCTGAGTGCCCAAGAAAGCTACAACATATGCTACAACAGTTATCAGATCAGAGTGCGAAGGCGGGGCTGTCAATGAACAGCACCAAGACAAAAGTCATGACAAATTCCTCAAAGACACATAATATCGTAGTAAACTCACAACAAATAGAATACGTAGACGAGTACATATACTTAGGACAACTTATATCACCCAACAAAACCATGGACAAAAAAATCGATAGGAAGATAGCCAATACTTGGAAGAGATACTAGTCGCTTAGTGAAGTTATGAAAGACAGAGATATGCCAATACAAGTTAAAAGAAAAGTCTGTATAACACCTGTATTCTGCCCTGCTTAACATATGGTTCAAATTCAAATTCAAATTCAAACTCATTTATTCAGTCTAGGCTGTTACAAGCTCTTGTGAAAGTCAAACGCTACGCCATCGGTTCGTAAATCTACGGTGGGAGACCTTGTACTGAGAAGAACCGGCAAGAAACTCAGCAAGGGCTATTTTTTTCTCCCTGTTTTGTTTCATACAGTGTCGTCAATTGAAAGATGACATCAAAAATTGAATACATGTGTTGATGTCAACTTCCATCACATATATATTATTAATTAACAAAAGTTAAGTATAAGTAGGTACTATTTTTAAATTTAGAAGTGGCGATTAAAAAATTTTCAACCAAATTAGCAAAGTAAAACGACAGTCTATTATGTTAAGCCCAAGGTGACTTATCATTTATGAAATCTTTTACAGTATAGTAACCTTTCTTAAGGAGACATGTTTTTATACACACTTTAAACTTATTAAAAGGTAAATTAATTATTTCTTTTGGTATTTTATTATAGTAACATATACCTTGACCCACAAATGAACCAAGAACCTTTTGGAGTCTCAATGGTGGCAATTTGAGTTTATCTTTATTTCTGGTATTGAAATTATGTACATCATCGCGCCTCGTATATAAATTTATGTTCTGACGCACAAACAATATACAATTGTAAATGTATTGAGAGGCAACAGTCATTATACCTATTTCTTTAAATTTATCCCTAAGAGAAGTTCGAGATCCCAAGCGGTAAATAGCTCTTATAGCTCGTTTTTGAAGAATAAAAACTGTTTCAATGTCTGCGGCCGTGCCCCATAATAGAATGCCATACGACATAATGCTGTGAAAGTAGCTGAAGTATATTGTCCTAGCAGTGTCGACATCTGTAAGCCGTCTTATTTTATAAATTGCATAAGCAGCAGAACTTAGTTTACCGGCTAGTGTTGTAATGTGAGGGTTCCATTGAAGTTTGTGGTCTAGAGTTACGCCTAAGAAAATGGTTGTATCAACTATTTGTGTCCTTTCTGTTAAATATGATTGCACTAATTTTTGTGCGGAATCTTTTATGCCGTAATGTTTTATTTCCGTAACAAAGTTTGATGATTAACGCAATCAAACGCTTTAGATAAATCGCAGAAAACCCCAAGAGCATTCTGCCACTTTTCCCAAGCATTAAATATATATTTCAGCATAGTGGCCCCAGCATCAGTCGTGGAACGGTTTTTAGTGAAACCGTACTGCGCTCTGTGTAAAAGTTTATTAATGTTAAAATGAGTCAACAATTGTTCTAACATTATTTTTTCAAAGATTTTACTCAATGCTGGTAATATAGATATTGGCCTATAGTTGCTAGGATCTTTACAATTTCCAGACTTAAATAAAGGTATGATTTTACTGAATTTCATAAGATCAGGGAATACTCCCTGATCTATACATGAATTAAAAATATCAGCTAGGTAAGGGGCTATAGAATGTATAATATTATTTATGACTTTGACAGATATACCCCATAAATCAGATGCATTTTTCATTTTTAATGAATGGAAAACTTTAATTATTTTAAAAGAACTAAAGTGCTTGAAATTAAATAATAAACCACACGGAGGTACATATTTTTGTAACAGAGCTGTAGCAGTATCAGACGATGAGTCCAAGTTGGAAGTAGTTTCTAATGGTATATTCATAAAAAAATTATCGAAAATATCTGCGACTTCATGTTTCGATTGTACGAGATTATTATTGATTTTAAGAACCATGCTTTTTTCACGAGGCTTACACTTGCCACTTTCGCGCTTAATGATATCCCAAGTGGTCTTTATTTTATTACTAGATTTTTTAATTTTATCTCTAATAAAATTGGACTTTGCAGTATTACATATGCTTTTAAACAATTTGGAATATTTTCTAACATAGTTAATAAACTCAGGATCCTGGTTATATTCTTTGATTCTATAAAGCTCATACAGCCTTGTTCTACTCTTATATATACCACTTGTCGCCCAGTCACAGAACTGCAACTTCTGTGTACATTTAATGGTTTTCAGGTTGTCAAACATGGACACTAACGAAAACCTTAACAAACAAACTGAGCGTCTGTCAAAATAGCATAGAAAGAAGTGTCATTGGAGTCAACAGAAGAGATAAAGTAAAATTAACAGAAATAAAAAACAGAACTCAATTCAAACAGGCACATTCTGTATATCGAACACTAAAATGGCGATGGACAGGACATATGTTGAGGGAAAGGCTAGAGAAATGTACCAGAATAATAACAGAGTGGTATCCAAGGGACGGTAAAAGAAACAAAGGTGGGCAAACGAAAAGATGGGAAGATGATTTAAAAAGGTGGCTGGTTCAGAATGGATCAGAGTTGCAAAAGATAGAGGAAAATGGAAATCTTTAGAGGAGGCCTATGTCGAAAGACAAGCTGTGTCAGAAAATAATGACCCGAACGCTGATAATTTAGAATAGAAACAAATATACGTACAGTTAATTGGATTAAGAAAATGTTTCAAAGTTTAACAGCAATAAAGGCTTATTTTATTTTTTTATTTTTATTTTATTTATGAGCGAGATCAACGCTCTTGTAGGTTTGAACATAATTCTACTACTACTTCGGGAGTAACATTTTACTGGGAGTGTGGGTATAGCTATTTAGTATTTTTTGCCAATAACTACTGTCGCAAAATATTTCGTGGGCACGTCGTTAAGAAATATTTGAAAATTTCTCAGTTGTGTGTAATGCTTGGCCAAACTATTCTAATATCGCAAACATTTGCCGTTTTTAATCGTCGCTCCTGATCTCAATAGGGGTAACGACGCGGTAAAGTAAACGAAATTCTATTTAGTCCATCAGTTAGATGATCAAGAAATAATGGACATGTATTTTTTCTTTGGGCAATCAACCAAAAAATAACAAAGATAAAGCGCGTCAAAGTTTGGGAGTAGGGGTTCGTGACGTCACTTTTAAGTGAAAATTGTACCAAAACGTGACGTCATGCGACTTTTCAAATCAATATATCTCTGCAATATTTAT